ATAAAACTTTAAAACAGCCAAATAGGCTTGAACTAGAAAGAATATGCTCCATCAGTATGAATTGCAAGATATACAAGTTTTTATCTTTTATCACTTCTCTTTTTATAGCTCACACACTTGCACTGGTTCAAAGATATAGACAAAATGCATTGACTTGCATATACATAATTCTTGTTTGTGTGCATCTCTGTGGGTTTATGGACATGTGCATTTCTTATGGATATTGCACCACGTGATATTTACAGTATCTCTTTTACTAGTTTATTCGCAGGAATTTGGCATCAAGGTTCTGTCATGTACTTGAAAAATCAGTCTTACTATTGTTTAAACATCTGCCAAAGCCAGAGATTGATTTTGCTTCATCACCTAATTGGCCAGAGGTGTTGAGTATCCTTGAGAAATTATCAGTGGTTGTTTCAGGCAAAAGACATACTGCTTATGATCCAAGGGAACTTTCAAATTGTGTTTCATCCAATAAAATGACTTCCAAAATTTCCAAGGAAGAAGATGCCTTGCAGCTAGCCAGCATGAACTTTAATGCTTGTCAGCATTTGCTCAATCTTTTATGTTGGATGCCAAAAGAATTTTTTTTGTCAAAATCGTTTGAACTTTTTGGGACTTATATACTAAATCTTGAAAGGTAAACTCTCTAGCTTTTTCAGTATGTGGATTGCATTTGTAATATTCCCCTGCCTAAAATAATGATGGGTATCTTTCAACTTTTTCCGTTTTGAAGAAGCAGGATGATAACCTGTCATATCTGATTATTTTGTAAACATTAAAATAAGAAAAAAAAATACATACCTTGAGAAAATAAGGTAATTGAGAAAATCAAAAAAGAAAAAAGAAAGCTAGAAGACACTAAAATTATGATTGAAGCTTCTAAGTTTTGAACAAGGGATACTTTTAGAAATTAAACTCCTGCTTGTTGCCTTCATGTAGTTTCAGTTTTCCAGCATGAACATATGTCTTTGCATGGCTTGTAATTTGCAATATGCCAAGTCTACATTTCTATGCCATTTAGTTCTTCACACCTGCGAAAAAAAAAATAATAACTTTATTCTCAGACAGCTATCAGCTTGGCATCTGCTTTGTTGTCTGCTTGTTAGAAACTCTTGAATATCAAAGTAGATTGTGTTATGTAAAAGTTCTAGGATGGTTATCATGAATTATCGTTAATTATTGGTTTTATGATCTTTGTTTCTGTTTCTTGTTTCTGCTATGATGTCTTCTTCTCATGACATTTAGTTTAGTTGTATGAGCAGCAACATAAAGATTCAAAATTCTAAAAGCTATGGGTATCCCCTCAATTAAAATAATAAAATCCAGCTGGAACAGTTTGGTTGTGTGCACCTGAGATACATGACTGCTATTGGAATATTTTGGTTAATATGGATCTCATTTACAGCATTGGTGGAATTTTGATAAAAGTAATAGAAAGAAAATTTTGAAATTGAAAGTGTCTGTGCATTATATTTCTTTTGTCATTCTAGGCTGATGATCATATTCTTATCGCTTGTACTCTTTAAAGTTCACCTAAATACATGCATGATCTTGTACCATGACAAAAATATATATTAGTAACGTCCTATAAAATGCGTTTACTTTGTTTGATATAGCATGCTTCATTTGCTTTTGATTAAAGTTTTTCGGCAGGTGGCTTCACTTATATTGTCAACATTCTCAGAATCACCATTAATA